TTTTTACTTTATTGCGAAATTGAATTAGACTAATTTAGGCACAAAGAATGCGCTGTTAGGGCCACAGGTAATTCAGGGCTAAATAAACCGCAAATTATCGTAAAACAAGTGCAGAGCGAGCCACGGCAGTCAAATGTCGAGAAGTAAACCTCTTTTGGTGCACGGTCGCACATTAAAAGCAGACAAATGGAAAAGCACAAAGACTTAGCTCAAGCCAGACGGCCGCCACATAAACACGCACACACACACACACACACACACGCACACGAACAGCCAACAAAATGGCGAAATGGCGCTGGAAGTGAAAATTGTTCCTAAAAGCCAGGGCAAGCTTTATGCCAAGCCCTAACATACGAGCCGCGTGGCTGCCCAAAAAGGAAAACCAATTTATGGTGATAAAAAAATATATATATATATACGAAAAAAAAAGATCTACTGTAAATTTACACTCATAACACAAAAGCAAACAACAACAACAAAAATGTTAGCAACAACAACRCGAAAACAAAAACAAGCACAAATTAAAATACCAAATTCTGAGCGGCATGTGCGGCGCGTTTTAACAAATGGCGCAGCATATTGGCCCTGAAAGCAATGGAAAAACAACAAGAACAACAACAACAACAAGGGCAAGCAAAAGCAGCAATATAACGGCAAAACAACACAATAAATTCAATTAACTCTCGCCTTGTTTGGGTTTCATTTTGATTTCTTTCTCCCCGGACGCAATAAAAAATGGCGTCAGCCTACGCATCAGCATCTAATGCTCATTTAACGGGATTTTATGAGCACTGCAAATTAGTGTGGGAGAGAGACAGAGAGGAAGACACCAAGAGGGAGAGAGAGAAAAAGCATACCAACAAATACAAATAGCACTTTAAAAATGAAAATTAATTAATTCCGCTGATTGCGAGCTAATGGTTTTTAATATTTATTTATTTTCTTTATGCTGCATATTAAATATAAATTAAAATTCCATTTGAAGCTTTTAGCAGAACCAAATAGATTATACCCTTTCTGAAGGACCCTTATTAGTTGAGTGCATATGAGCTTGAGGAAGACTACATAGAATAATTCTTAGTTAAATTCAGTAATAAAATATGATATTCTCTCGTTCTTCCTGTCTATCTCTCTATCTATCCTTGTATGTATATAGACCATAATTCGCACTTTGAGAAAAACATTCACAGAGCAACCGATTCCGTTCGGTTCTTCAACGATCGAACAGGAACCTCTTTTTATCCGCTCTGACTTTTTCCCGATCATTTGTAGAGCTAAATGGCATATGTGAATGTGGTATTCTGTTTGCTAAACGTATCAGTGAGGTAAGTGAATGGTGCATGTGTATGTGTATGAGAAGACTGTTTAAGTTTTTGAGCTAATTGTGAACGTCAATCTCTCTCTCTCTCTCTCTCTCTCTCTGTCTCTTTCTCTCTGTCTCTCTCTCTCTGTCTCTCTCTCTCTCTCTCTCTCGTTACAAGAACTTCAGACGAATAGTTCAACTGATGGGGCTCAACCGAAACCCAAAAGAAGATTCACGAAATGAGCCGAAGACTTCTGCTCAGAGCGAGTGCGATTGAATAAGATTTTTCTGGAACTGTCTCGAAAAGAGAGCGTAAAAAAACAATTTACCGTTATTTTCAACCTATACATGTATGTTCACATTTCATCTATAATTAATAAAGCAAACACAATTTCATTTGTGAACAGCCTTCAACTGTTTACTTAGAGGCTATCACCTAGTCTGTCATTATTAGTTAATAAAAGTGTCTTTTTTTTTTTTAAATACATATTTACTTGAATTAAAATTTAATTGCATAAAATACGCTATTCAATTTATAGCCGCAAACCTATAGGAATTCTTAATTAGGTGTATTAAATTACATTTTTATTGACACGTATTTATTAAGGATTAAATTAGCCAAATTAATTTACACACGTTTTTATTACCATAAGCATGAACACCGTTAACAATGCAGCTTAACTGTAATCCATTTTAATTAATTTGTTAAGCATAATATGAACAATTTATGAGGATTGTTATTTCACTCAATTTAGTATATTAAATATACTAACATAAATTAGGTATAAAATGCTAGACGATTTCTTTATTTTTCTTTAAAAAGCATTCACAGGTAAATTTAAGTGAAAATCCACAATGTATAAATCCATTTTCCTTTATTATTAACAACAATAAGAAGCAATTGATATATCATTAATGATTAAAAATAAGATTACTAAGTGCTATAATACTTAAAGTAATATGAACACGTGCGTAATCTTAATAAGTGGAACTCAATTAGGTAATTCTCGATGTTTAATAGAAAATGACGTTCATTGTCATGACCAATTTAACGATAATCAATTGGTGAATAAACCATAGAGGTCTTGCCAGACAATGACGTTGAGGAAGAGGAGGAACAGAGCCAAGGTGGAGCATCGTGCAGCCTGTTTAGTAGCGCAGCAGTGAGTAAATATATTGCAGAGAATTGATATTAAGGAGACACGAAGTGAGAGCATAAAATGATTTGATAGCTTGACAATGGCTGGAAGTTTATTGTGGCGAACCCTTTTGGCCAATTTGGCCAGCACCTTTTGACCTTTTGTGCGCAGCCATTGGCTGTGGCACAATTTGGCAGCGATTTCGCCACACATTGTCCGCTCAATAAACCAAATATGTCTAAGCTGGTGTGTGCTTGGCGCGACGCACACGGCCAACAGTTGCTTACTTGAGTCAGCTGGGGAGTCGAGTGAATTATGGGTCTGCCTCTTACGTCCTACACAGGGCACCCAAAACCCTGCACCCTGCACCCTGCACCGTGCTGCTGCTGCTGTAGCTTGTCAATTATTCTAGCCCTGCTGTCCCGGCGGGATACATAAATTCCAATTGTTCTAACATCAAATAGTAATGAATTGCCCGCGGCTGGCTTACAAAGTGTTTTTTTATTTGCTTATTTTTGGATATTTACTCACAGTGACAGCGCAACTAAATTAAGTAGTCTGACACGTGCAACGTGGCGTATGTGCGATAATCACGCTTCTCGAGCCCTGATGAGCCTGAAGTTATAGACTTACTCTGCTAGATTAGGCGCTTAGGATTCATATCGGCTGGCTAAACAGTAGAGCGAAGAGCTGCAAAGCATTTCTTGTCCAGGTTTGCAGTACTTCATTCTGATTATTGCATATTTTGATTTCATATTAAGTTAATTATATTTTAAATTAGGTTAGTTGTAGTTTTACTTAGGCAAGTTTTCCAATATACAAAATTTATTTGCGAACTCAAATACATTTCAGAACTGAATTATTTCTTCACTCATCCGTAAAGACGTGTCGCACAGCAATCTATTATCCATCACACTTCACTCCATTCGATACCCTTTAAGCATTCAATGGCTCTTAATTGTGTGGGCTGCAAAAACAGCGTAACAAAGTTTGTTTATTTCCTTTTCTATTGCTTTGCGCATGCTGTATTTATTTAAGAGTCCTCAAAGCTATTTCCAAAGTTTGCAGCTCTGTTAATTGACGACGAGAGAGCGCACAAAAGTAGGCAACATAAATAAGGTTCGCTCCATGCCTCATGCTGCAGTTGCGGCTTGTTGTGGACTTTGTCACACTGAGTAAACACACACACTCGGCAAGAGTTCCTTGGACTGACTAAATCGACTGCGGTTAGCCAGGCCATGTGTTAAGTTTCGCCAGGCACATCAAGAGCCGGGCCTGAGCCAGAGCTGAGCGTAATGGTTGTGGCGATAAGGCTGAGGGCGGTGAGTGTCGTGTGTGACACAGT